ATAATATATATATATGTACATAAAGAGTGCTATGAGGTGCAGTGGTCAGAGGTGCTCTGCGCCGCACATGAGGTCAATGGTTCGATCTCGCGTTCATGGCTCACTAAGCCATCCATCCCTTCGGGGTAGGTAAATTGATACCAGACTGGTCTCAAACTTGTCTGGGAGGATAAGCAGCACTTGGCTCAGCAAGAGGCCACCGCGACTCATTGTAAAAGCCAGATGTGCATTCAGTCACCTCAAACGAAGTCAAAAATTGAAGACGATAGCATGGCGCATTCCTCAGGAATTGATCGATGCCGGAGCTTTATCCTTTGTGCTTTATATATATATATATATATATATATATATATATATATACCTACTTTTGGAATAATCAAGACACACGTCAACAAATGGCTACTAAACCTTCAATAAAAGGCTATTAGCAGAGCCTAGGCGAGCGAATAAGTCAGACCGAGTGTGAGACATAATCATATTTCCGCTACTACAGCGTACTAGGAGGGCTTTCCCAAAAGCCAAGTAAAGTATTAAAATCGTAGGGCTTTGAGCGGTTGAATCATTACTGAAAGTCTACGGGGAAAGCTCTCTTCATCGAGAGAGGTTTGGTTCTAAATGGTTGCGTCGAAGCTACTCTACTTCCGATAAGTATAATTCTTAGTTAAGGACCGCAGAGAAATGAAAGGCTTGGTGAGCTCGTAGTCGGGTCGAATTCAATGAAGTACACATCTGACCATCTCACTACGCTCAGTCATGTAAGTAATCATGAAAGTTCGTAGTAACTTCTCCAGCACTTTAGCACTTTATCTAATTCGTCATCACAGTGAATTTTTTTTCACTGTGCGGCACTTCTAGCACTTCTAGCACTCAGTTCATTTTTCGTCTTCTTGAACGGCGTAGAAATCTGGCTGAGTGAGTCCCCTTGCAATCTCAAAGATAGCCTTACTGTGGCGTTCCATAGGACGTTGTTGTTGACTGCGGGGGTGGAGTTCGACTTCACGCGTGCCGAGACCAGCATCACAACCACTCGGCCACGGAGCTCCTTATAATAACTTCAGCACAACATAAAAAACAGATTCTGAACAACAAAATCTGTGGATGGTTCTGACAACGTAGAGTTTGCCAGTTCGCGATAATAACTCAGTAGTTTTATGAGAAACCGGTGGTATTGATCTGCTTTGTGCTGATGTTGCCTAGTAAATTTTTCTCCGTAATGGAGACAAACATGACCACCTTTGTAGATTTTGTCTGAAGGAGTCTGACTATTTTGTTAGTGGTCTTTTTGCGGTTTACATGATTCAATGTTGAAGTCGCTTGCCAAAGACCGATTATCATCAAAATACATGACAAAAATCTTCGATATCTTGACATATGGCAGATACGTCTTTGATATATGACTGGCGGCTTAAGTCGGAACTTTGAGCACCGTCTATCACTTGATTGATGTGGGATACAACAGCATTACTTTCTTGATCCGTAACGCTTAGCGACCGATCCTTCGTCATGCTCGCGTATCATTCAAGTTTCCGAGGTATGAAATCGATTAATGGAATTGAAATGTGGATACCAAGCTGTAGATGTTTCTTGTTTTCTTTACTCCAATCGCCCAAAATCCTAAATCTCTCGGATCTTATATGTTGGAAATTATGCTCAGATCTGTTGCTCATCAAGGTGATTCAAGTTGTTTGCCAAGTTGAGCTTCCTATGATAAATGCAGGTCTGAGTGCTTCAGAGATAATCGATTTGTATAGATTGAATAGGGAAAACATCAAAGATGAATAGGGCATCACAATCACCTCTTCTTTAGATTGACTGGCTTGTTGTTCATGTGAAAGGAATAAACTTTTTTCGCGCTTTTCCAAGAGTAGCGTGAATAATTTCATGGAGTTATCGTCTGTGATGGATCGCTCTTTATATCGCTGAAAGCGTAAGTGTGGAGTGTAGAAATTTAGGTGCCCACTTAGTGGCTAATGAAGGCTGTTTATGTACTGAACATGAACCCTCAGGCTGTGGAGAAACATGCAAATTACTTTTAGTAAAAAATGCTTCTTTTGCTCTAAATTGTCACACGGATTTCTTTGCACTTGCTTGACTTGAAATATTAAGCTCAGGTGAGTGAGCTTATATGTATAAGTATTATAACAAAACGCGATGACGGGAGTGACAATATACGTTAGGTATAGGATTATCAAATGGCTCGAGTACTATGCCGGTGTGGGACAATGAGTATGATGATTGGGATTAATTACCAAGACCGACTATCGATTGACCTCGGTATAAATTGAATATTTCCGTGACTTTCTTTCGTTCAGCAAACACGAGATTGTTAATATATGTTTATTTCGTAAAAAATCGTGCAGTAGACGATAGCACACGTCCCCCGTATGGATGAAACGCGATGTCGACTCCCATTTGAGGTCGCATTTTTGCTCACCACTCAATTCTCAGTATAGTAGAGTTTGCATCCGTGGCTAACCTTTCGACAGTTTCGCCTCCGTCAGAGCCTGAAAGAGCCAAATTGACGTGCAGTCCACATAGATGGCATTTTAATAATCAATTAAAATGTTAAAATGAAACATGAGCGAAAACGTACAGGTTGAAACGTATAGTAGTCTGCTTTCATTAAATATCCACCGTACGTTGTTCACTAGCCCACTAGTCAAAATATATACCAGCCGCACCGAGTATTACATAAGCGAGAAATGTTTGTCTGGATCCACAAAAATCGATCCGAGATAGGGCGCTAAATCACGAGTGATCACAAGTCACTCATCCTTCCAATTCGTTTTTGGATTCTTGGAATGAATCCAAAAATACTGCGAAGATTTCGCGCGCTGAAGTTTTTTGTTCCTGTGCCAGGATGGATATTTCTAGTTCAACGTTCAAAAAAATCCATACTCATTTGTGCCCTGAGAGTCCCTAGTGACGTTTTCAAATCAATTTTTTCACTGTTGTTTAAGTGTTCTTTGATACGAACATGGAGGGATCTTCCCGTTTCGCCGATGTTCGAATTCGCCGCCGCACGTTTTAGAAGAGTAGGTAGATTGTACCTATGCTCATGCAATTCTGTCTCTACGGTTGAGGGGTATCGTGCATCATTTTGTTTCCATAGATGGTCGTGTTGGGATAATGATTCGCAACAGTCGAATCTATGGCAGCTGGTAATTTGGACAATTGCCGAGCCCGTAAATGTGCATACGTGCAGAGGTGAGAGGTACATCACCGAAATTATACCGCTTAGTGGGTGCAGGCTATTTTCGCTATGAAGGCGCGCACATTCAAATATTGATCCTAGAGATGTTCAAATATAGTCAGTTCCGTGTAACACTCTAATAAAGAGATCTAAATATAACTAAGATAAAAGTAACCTGAGAAGAGTTTGGGAAACTAACATCCCAAAGATAAGTCAAACGGCTCAAGTGATATACTGTTAATCAAAAACGTAAAATTTGAGGACTTAACATATTGATTAAAATTCAATGACAATAATATGGCAATAGACCATTACCTTGATTCAATACCCCAATACTAAGTGAATCTAGGGAAAATGGTGTTCTTGAGGAAGGGAGGAGTTTTTAATGCTCCATTCACGCTCGGCAGAGCAAAAATCTTCGAATGCTCCAGTTACGTTTATCTAGGTCGTGAAATCAACATGATGAACGACCTAGCTCCAAAGTTGAGCAGGAGAGCACCGAAGATGTAGTGAAGAGGACAAAGAACATCCGACTCCGTGCCCACCTTTTCGACTTGACGATTATTCCTGCTCTAATGTATGCAATAGAAACCTGGTCGCTACGTAGGCAGGATGAAGAATCACTTGGCGTTTTTGAACGCACAGTCGAAAAGTCGATGTTAAAAGTATCCCGTATCTCGCAAATGAGAGAAAGGATCCGAAGTTCCAACCTACGTCAACGATCGGAAATCAGTGACACCGTTCTACATGCCAGGATAACGAAAATAAAGTGAGCCGGACACGCGATGCGCTTCAACGACAGCCGATGGACGAGGGCCGTTACCATTGGATTCCACTGGATATCAAGCGCTCTACAGAAACATCACCGACCCGATGGTCCGATTTCTTCACGAAAAGACTAAAAGGAAAATATAATGTTCAAGGATTTTCTAGAGCAGAGAAGACCAACTGGGCCACTCTTGCACGCTATAGGGAAAAATGGATGCGTTGCTTGTGCCCGCTCGAGTCACTCGACGATCAACGGCACGACAGTTGATACAGGTGATACTTTGTGTCTAAGGATACGTATGAAATTTCATGTTCTAGTAAGGATTCCTGTAGCGTGCTGGTTCAAGTTGCACTACAATTCAAGTATGGTCGCTGTTTCAATCTCGCATCTTAGGCAGGCAAAATGCCCTCCCCAGCGTCGATAAATTAGTAGCAGACAAGATTTTGAGGAGGCAGCAAGATCTGCATTCTTTTACGATGTTTAGTAGATTCAAATACATCACGCATTTCTGAAAAATTAAGTAACGCCGAATGCTGTATCTTTTATTTCTAATCACTGCACAATTTATTTTTTTGACAAGATACGATGAGGTAATTAGCCACAAAATGCTGAGATACTTGCAAAATTGTCTAACCCGTTCTGGTGAATTGTCCAAGATGAAGCAAATGGCAAGGTGACAAATTTTGTTCAGTCTACTAGAAATTTCTAGTGTTTTTACTGCATTTCACAGTGTTATGATGTTTCGTATATACCTAAGAGAATTGAGTGGTGAGCAAAAACTCGGCCTCAGGCAGGAATCGAACACGCGTTTCATCCTTACCAAGGACACTTTTGCTCACCACTCTGACCTCTTTGGTAATATGAAACATCATAACACTGCGAAATGCAGTAAAAATGCTGGAAATTTCGAGCATTGGTTATTACAATGGCTGTCAGCTCAACTGGGTTTCTAAAGCGAAATCGCATACCCGATCAAACCTGTTAAAGGTTGGTGGGTGATAGGTAAGATAGAAATGAAGAATGAGTGGTGTCACAAATGCCTCGGTGGTGTTAGTGGTAAAGCACGCGTCCCCGGTAAGCATGAAACACGGGTTCGGTTCCCGCCTGAGGCCGTGTTTTTGCTCACCACTCATTCTCTTAGGTATAATCCGAGATATGGCGATTAGCAGTAGTGACGATCTCAAGTTGGACTCCTCAGTCAACATTACCGTATATCTTATCAATCCATTCGATATTCTAGTTGGCTATAAAAAAACTAAATACAATAGAATAAACAACTTTTCTTGGCGAGTGGCCAATTCAGTAAAAAAACACCACGTCTCTATTTCCTGGGGCCCACCTTTTTATGACTTCTATACTGTCCAATATCTCAGGGCTTCTTGAGAACGCCAAGAAATCATTCTTTTTTCATGGCTCGTGCAAAACTAGCCCAGTGTGTTCTCTACGGCGTGAAATCCGCTAAGCAACATAATTTTCTTTCATGGTTTTTTATGAAGAATCTGATTATCGACTTGATGGTGTGGACTTGATGAGTTTGACATTCCGAGGAATCTACTCAACAACGAACCCTATCCAACGATTGTCATTAAACCAGTTATGTATTCTGAATACCGACAAACTGACGTGTAGAATGGTATCCTTAATCTCTGATCGTTAAAGCAGGTGCAAACTTTGGATCCTTTCCTTTACTTGAAAGATAATGCATGCACCTAGCATTAACCTTTCAGCTGCGCGTTCAATAACGCCACGTGATCTTTCATCCTGCTTGAAGTAGAGTAGCGACGTTTCTGATGCATATATTGAGGCATGAAGAATCGTTGAGTAGGAAACGTGGGCACGGAGTCAATGTTGTTTCTTCTCTCCGCTGCCTACTTGATGCTCTTGAAACTCCGTCAAGAGCTTTTGTTTTCCGACTTTCGAGCTAAATAATTCATCATATCAACTTCCTCATATACCAATCTCGAGAACGCGGAATTATTAGGTTGGGAAGAAAGTTGTGGGACACGTGTGAAAATTGTAAATTCATACATGAATTCCAAATAAAAAGATAGTTACAGTTGTTCAAAATGAAAGCCTACGTTTTCTACAACTTTCTATCAACGGTAAGCTAGTTTCGGATCCTGATCTGTTTCCAAATCGAGCATTCAGTGGATTGTTGAGCAGTTGGCGAAAAATTTCGACTCTTCTACCTGCTTATACTTCGGTGAGTTCGTGCGGATCTTGTCGTGGCTTCCTGTGAACAAAGTTAAGCTAGTGGAAATAAGTTATCACAGTTGTTGAGAAACATTCTGTTGCGAATTTGTGCTTGACGGTGTTTCATCTTCCAAAGCAGCAATCGAATCTCCGTTATTTAAATTTGTTGGGCGTCTTGGATGAGGCTTGCCTTCGAGGTCAAGATCTCCGGCATTGAGAAGGGTTGGAACCAGCGTCCAGCAGCAGATTTGTTTGTTGTACCTTCCGCTCCAACTTCGCTAATTTCATCCGCTGCAGCTCGCTATGAAAGATCTTTTCTCCAATAATGACGTAATAAAACACGAAATTCGACTGTATCGTTGAACATGGCGGAAGCTTGTAACAAAATAAAAATAAAGACGAGTAATACTAGGTATTCAGTGTGAAAATTACACAGAAGAAACTGCAATATTCCCATGGTATGCAAGAGTTATATCACGCTTATTGAAGTACCGCAGAAATTTCTTCTCAATTGTAGTACAAAGTTCCATTTAGCGTGAATAACCAATGCGAAACCCAATCGCTATCATGAACATTGTCTTTGTGATATCCGATCGAAGACTAATATTTCCACTAGCGCTCTCGAACGGTCAAGATTTACTTCGCTTGGCTGATGTATTGTGTCACAAGAACGGTCTCACCGGCTAAGCGAAGATGGTGTAGTGGCCGACCGTCGATTTCACTCCAGCGATGTTCCATTGGAATGTTCGCGTGACACTATGGACGGTGGCAATGAAGAATTCTGGCGAGATGGTATCGCATTGTCAAACTGTTCTTCTTTCGTCAATGGTAATATCGTTATAGAAATGGCGACATTTTAGTTGTGAAATTTTTTATAGCTCACGAAGAATGGTTAGTAATGAGTAGGGGTGTTCTGACTGTCGAGGTTTCATAACTGCCTCCACTACGACTGACATAGGTCTTCTTCAAATCAATGAAAGTGAAACAGAGCGGTCTCTAATGTCCTCTATACTTCAGAGAGTCTTGTTAACTTGTGGATGTGGTTCATCGTATGGAAACCTTTTCAAAACCCAATTTGTTTGAAGGGTTCCGTAGGCAAGTGGTTGTGATGCTCGTCGCGGCTCACGCGGGTCAAATTCCACTCCCCAAAATTCTCCGACAGTCAACAATGAACGCTCTATGTGAAGCCATATCCAGGCTATCCTCGAGACTGCAAGGAGCTCGCTCAACCAGGAGTTCACGACGTCCCACAAGAGGGTGAGAAATCGAACTCATTGCTAGAAGTACTGACTGCCCAGTGGAGAAAAACACTGTGATAACGGATCAATAAATTGTCAATTTGCTTATATGACTGTCTTTTGGGCAGTACTCTGCTAATCCTCCATGTGATTACTCGCGAGCGAAGCCTACAGATGTCAGGCAGCAAGAGGGTTGCGCAGTAATTGCGGATTTCGTGAAGGTCTTTTCTTTTCAACAATAACACGGTCTTCTTGGCTTTTCATTGGCTAGGAACCTTGCAATCTGGTAGTGTAACGTGTGAAGAGCAGAGCCAGTTTGTTTGTGTGAACTGGTGAGGCTTTTCGGATGTTTAGCGCTCATCCTGTCCGAACCAGGCATTATTCGATTCTTCACCGACGGAACAGCATATTAGATTTCAGAAGGCACAACTAGTGCGACAACAATTCTGTTCCTTTTCATTCCATATGACAGTAAGCGGACGTGGCTATTGAAGAGATCTGTGTAGTAGCCGTGGATGATTTTCTCGATAGCGGCTTTTCCTTCCAGCCGAGTAAATGATTCAGATGAAATTGAAAAGTTTTAAAATTGCGTTCTCATTTTCCTTCAAGTTTAGCAGGTTCTCCTTTTTCCTGTGAAAAGTGTTTCACATAGAGGAAACTATTGCCAATCCCGTATCGAATTTGTGGCAACAGCGAAATTGGCCATAGAAGCCTATGATTTGCTCCGGTGTGATCCGTTTTGTTACCATAATTTCCATTTGGGTTATTCCCACATTTACTGTTGAAAATGGACCTTTTGGAATTGCGTGTCACCATAAATGGTCTGAGTCATCATAATTTATTTTGACGGCTTCACAAAACCTCATTTTATTTTAATCCTTGTGGGTATCAATATGTTTTGGTAGGTCAAATTTTTCTTAGAATTCAAACTTTCAATTCGCATTAGTATTTGTTTGGTTGGGACGATTCTAATAGCCAGGCTCAACTAACAAGAACGACAACGCCGTAGACTATACTAACTTCGCATGTTATAAGGAGTGATTCTTTTTCGGTGTTTTAAACGGCGCGAAATGGGCGGCATCTTCTCGTCCTAACCAGTTCGATGACGTTCTACCAGACCTTTTTTCGAATAAATGACTAGGTCATCCATAGAAGATCCGGGTAAAAGAGGACTTCTCCACTGCCACTATTACTGAACTTTATTCATTATTATACTAACATGACCCATCACATTTGCTGCGTAGATCCCAGCATTTCGTCCATTCGATTCGTTTCCTCGTTTTCATCATCCATAAAGGGCTGCGAGATTTTTGAGCCTCGTTCCGGCTATTGCATGAAGATTTCGATTTCCTTATGAATGTTGTAGAATATTGTTCGAGTCGCACCCCCTTGCAATCGTGAAAACACGTGACTAAAGCGTTGCCACGTACATAGCAAGATATCGTTGGAAAGGAGATCGAACCAACGTCGTGCTTTCTGATAGACTGCATCATTGGACACTCCACTAATCCCCTACGGCTTCACACACGGCTTGCAATGGGTGATGCCTTCTAATCTCAGCCATTCCGTTGACGTTGAACGATATCTTCTTGCTTATGTAATCAAGTTCCATATGAAGAACTCGCGTGCAAGTGAGCAAGCACTACAGGTACAAATCGCACCACCTTGTTCTTCGAGATTCAGACAGCATGTAATAGCTCTGAGAATTTAACAGCCTTTTCGTGTTTGTCCTACCCAGCGCTGTCGTAATAAAGGCTCTTTCGGGGTCTGAAAAATTGCTATTTTGAGGAAGCATTGACAATCCTGGCCTACGAGTCAACAACGTCAGTGGGAAGGTCGCTTAAAGCCTTTTAGAAGATGTTTAAAATCCAGTATCGATTATAAAGGGAGAGTGTCTGGACGACACAAAGGCTTGGCACCTTATCTCAGATTCTTTTTTTTTTTCAGGTTAACTAATATATGGTCACACTCGCTGCTTAAAGAACTGAACGGTGGGTCGCTTTATTAACAGGTTTCAAAATTTAATTTTTGATTTAGATTTCCATCAGATTCAGGAAATGTTTACTGAACGATTAGAGATGGTATGGCACAGTTCGTCGAGGCCCAGAGAAAGGTGAAATTGCAGGAACGAAATCCTTCGCTTGGGAAGACGATGATACTAACTTCACGTTGGTTTTGAAAAGGGATGATTCGTAGGATAGTTTCAATAATTTACGCCAAGATTTGGTAAAGGTCGAGCTTCCAATCAATTCCGTGGTCAACGTATTTCATTGCGATCAATTTTTGTCATCCACGTATAACATGGGCAGCTCTTAATGTCGAGTCTCAATTCTCATAAGTATTTCATTGGTACCTTCGTTTCGCATGTATTCTTAAGAAGACGCTCAAATTCCAGTACGTCTGATAATTAATTCTGGGCCACGCATGTGATCTGTTATGAGCACTTATACAGTGCAATACACATGTTTCGGCCTTGCAGCCTTGTCAATTCCACGGTGTCTTTCGTCTAAGCCGATCCCTCTTGGTAGAGAACCCATTCACATAGAGAAGCCGTTGACGAACGTTTTATACTCGACGACGTGATAAAATTGCCGAGCGGGCAGTGTTGTATACTCGATTGCTTTTGGCTGTTATCGTCAATATCGTCAAATATATCGTACCTTTCGTTTCGAGTGTTTTCCTCCGACGGAGGTCATTGTGCAACTGACGAGGCTGCATGGCCGAAACACGTGTATTGTACTGTGTACGCGTTCATAACAGATCACATACATGGCACAAAAGTGACTACCGCACTTTATCAGTATCACCGAGAGAGGGTAAGGTAAGACGACTCCAGCATCTTCTAATGCACTTTCAATGTAAGATTTTCACATTTTTGTATACGCTAAAGAAGAAATGACTCATTCAACTTTACGTAACAACTTTCTAAAGATTCTTCTACATACTTCTTTCTTTGTGGGTTATGGTCCCATCATGACATCGTCATTCTGAAATATACGAGTAGATTCCAATACAACCTCATCCATGTACGAAGCGGTGTTCCATTTTATTGTTTATAAAATACCACGCGTATCATTTCGCTGCAGAGAGTCTGCTTAACGGCGCTTAAATGGTTGTATTAAGCATTGTATTTGCTTCTCGTTCAGTACATAACTTCTAAGACTTCCCTATTGGTCGGGGTGCCAAGAATCTGCTGTTCTATAATGCCGTTTGCTCACTCAAGCTTAAAAACGGTTATCCGCGGTTTTAATCCATATTCGCTTCATCATTAGCCCTGAATCCACATAGGTCCATGTTACCATGTCGTCTGTAACCCTCCCCATCGTCAATGCTTTCATCTCCATCACGAAGCTAATCAAATCAAATTTGCGTCACATTGTCGCTCATTGTTCCTTAACCAAATAGTACAAACTTGAACATATATGCCCGAAATTTCATGTCCACCATTGAATTCGTACGAGACGTTTTTGTGAACTTTCTTTTTATGCTTATTACAATAAATAAATTAAATACTAATAAGCATGAGAACATGATCTTCAAGACAAGAATGTGGAAAAAATTCACGCTTTTGAAAATTGAGGTTGACACAAAAGCAGAAGTTCCAAATCTCAAAATACGAAAGCTAAATCATACCCGACCAAACCTCTTAAAAGTTGATGGCTGATAGCTATCATAGAGATATTAAAGAACGATTGGTGGCGCAAAGGTGCCTCGGTCGTATAGTGGTAGCACATATACCCGGCATGGATGGAACGCGGGTTCGACTCCCGTCTGAGACTATTATTTTGTTCACTGCTTAATTTTTTTCGATATATATGTAGCTTCACAATATTGCAAAAAAAACAGAAAAAATGCTGGAGTGCTGGAGTACGAAAGCTAAAGTAAAAATAAATAAAAATGCAATGTAAAGGTGGATCAATGAAGTTTCTAAAAAAAGCTAAAATAAGGATAAATTCAATGAAAACGTCAACTTCTTGAAAAATAAAGGCGATTAATCACTTTTTTCAACATCTATAAAGAAAAGGTTGACCAAGTTGTCATTCATCAATATATTCTCACCAACTATCACATCAGTCACCTCTTTAGCAATTGCCGCATGACAAATGCAGTTATCGCAGAATCCGACGTTCATGAGAATTTTACTTGTGCACTTATTGATTTGATTGGTAAGCAGCTTCCCTGACTTGCTATTGTTGGACGCATGACGTGTCCAGTTGGACTGATTATCCATATCTTGGCGTATATGGCCAAGTCTACGACTCTGAAGTTATTTTAGACTGGAACTCAAAATTCCGTCCTATGCATGTGTGGTACGAGAAACTCCTAATATAAAGTGCTTTTGAATTAGGAGTATCTCGTACCACACATAGCACGTCATCGCCGGGTACTGGATCTTTTTCAAATTGAAAATCAGTCTGAGATATTATATGTTATCACGAATCAAAACAAGGAATTACTCTCTGCTCCTCATTTCGAAATTTTTGCACGAAGAGCACTGCCCAACTGACAAGGCTACCAAGGCCGAAACACGGTGTAATGGCCTGTACCAGTGCCCCATAACAGACCACATGAATGACTCAAAAAGTAGTTATCAGACATATTGAAATCTCAACATGGTCTTGAGAAAACACTCGAGACGATATGTATGATTCTTGAAATTTATGAAAAATACGATGGCGCTTCCAGGCTTCGAATCTACTTCAAACTCAATTGTAATTGTGCCCCGAGAGAGTATGTGACTGATCTTCAGCTTTACCGACTAAATGTTGTTCTACACGGACACCGATTAGTAGAGCAATCTACGCACGTCCGCACGCTTTACATAAAATTGAGTAGATCGTACCTTATCTTTGAAACCTCTGTCTTTTCAGACATTATGCAATTTTGCGTTAAGCACAAACGATTACGACTTAGCTATCAATTTAGAGTGTCTGATGGTATTTCATTCAATGCTACTGATTCCTCTAAATAGTCCTCTTTCCAGGCGAGGTATCGGGACCTGCCTAGTTTCACTGATTTGGAATTTAGTTTTTCCTAACTTGTTCCGAGTATCTTAGTCTCGTGGTCATTGAAAATGGCTCTTTCTCTCTCCAAGTAAAAGATTTCTCCTTCATCTTTTCTATACACACACGGTGTCGAAATATGTTCTTCAAAAGGGATGATACAGATAACTCGAACGTTCAAACGTAAGAGCTAGTTCTCCTTCGGCTTCTTCTTTGCAGAAAAATTTATGAACTTTGACTTGTTGGTTTAACAGTCCAGAACATTTATCCATCTCTTCAGGCGTTGAGCAGACTTTAAAGCTGATACATCTACAATAAAGTACTGGAAGGAGAGCGAGCTCCGCTTCCCATCACTTGAATATAACGGGAAGATTTGGCGCCATTTGCTCACTCATTGCCAACCTTCTATTCTACGAGATATTTTCGGACCATCTAAAGGTTGAGAGCAATTCAAGCGTTCTCTCGATAGACCCAATACGTGCCTAATCGAAAAAATGTTTATGGCTCCTCCGTGTTAGGTAATGGGTTCGGTAATGTATTGCTCAGCGAAATCATTCGATTTGCTTGTACTACGGGTGGTAACGTCGAAAGAATCTATGACAGACACGTTGTCTAAGAGGGGCGTTGCTTAGACGATACAAACTTCAGCAACTGAGCAACTGTTAGATTTAAAAACCAAGTCATTCTACTAACAGTTCTATGATGACTGAATCGTACCTTATAGGATATTGAACGGTATGGAAAACATTCAACCCCAGGCGGAAGATGAACCCACGTCCACCCGCGCCGGGAGCACGTGCTACCACTACACCGCCGAGGACACCGTTCTACTACCACTTTCTTCGATATATCCTATCGTAGCTGTCACCAAATAACCTTTAACGAGGTTAATCCGGTAAGCTATGGTGTGATGCTAGCACACGCTCCCGATAAGGGTGGTACACGGGTTCAACTCCAGCCTGAGACCATTTGTTTTGTGTACCACTTAATACTCTTCGAAGTCGTTGTGAATCCGTAACCATCAAAATATGATTGGCTGGTAGTCGCCGTCAAAAATAATTTTGATCCTCATCTGCCTAGTGATGATTCGGCGAATGAATATTATTCAGGAGGGCTTTCCAGCGAACAACCAGTGTTTTCGATCCGGGCGGTGTCTCGTTTTTCTTTCTTTTTTGAGTTTTTCCAACTCGTAGATTAAAGATTGACATAGGTACGTCCATTTCAAAGTTTAGAGTACTACTGTGTACAAAATTTCATGGGAAGTCGGCTGAATGATAGAAAAGAGGGGCCCGTGATGCCTACAGATTGTGTCTTCCAGGAGTGAATTCATCAATCTTTCAATATAGTCTGTGAGAATGTTTAGAGCGTTTTTGAGGTTGATACCCCAGAACCATACGCACCTTTTGGCGGTGTCGCCTGCTTCATCAGTGCCCCACGCACCACACTGAATTCTGCTTTATGGTGAGGATAGGGAGAAGTTAATAATGGTGGTAGCACGTCTCCCCATCCATACTATGACGTAGGGTTCAGTGTGGCGCGTGGGCAACTGATGAAGCAGGCGACACTGCCGAAACGTGCGTATGGCTCTGGCGTACCATCCTCGAAAAGACTCTAAACATTCTCAAAGACTTATTGAAGGTTAAATTCAAAGTATAAAAGCGGTTAGATGGATTTCTACATATCCAGTATCATGAAGCTTCATCGATTCAGTCCGAACCTTGTCGACTTCACTATCAAAAGTTTGCAGAGATTCCTCTATTGAATCGGATCTTTGTATAGATCCGTTAGGGTCCATTAGCAATTACCCTGAGAATACAATTTTGTTCCAGGTCTTAATAGAACCCATAAAGAATCATGGAATGGTTGCCAGTTTTTCTCATGATTCAGTTATTCTGTCGACATTCTTATTGGTTTGCTTTTGGTTTCTGCAGAAATAGCATTCGATTCGTTTTTTCACTGTGAACATCCTAAGCGCTATACAGTCGCTGGATTATACGAATTGTTTATTTATCTGTTGTGTTTATTATTTACAATGTTTTTTCTGCCGATAATAAGAGAAATCGAGTCGGCCATCCTCGTATATCTATCTACACACTAGAAGATATTCACCATTTATCTCATCGACTGTTTCTGAACTTCGCTACAAACATTTGATGGAGTCTGTGAGGATGCTCAAAGCCTTACCGAGGCTATTACGTCAGAGTCATACGAACGTCTTGGCGGTGTCGCTCGCTTCAGCAGTAGTTTGCGCTTCAAACTGAACCTTACTCTATAGCGATAAGTAAGCGATTGAAAAATCGATGAGATTCACAGGGAGGTTCCACATATTCACTACCAACCGTAATCCGTCGACTGAAAAAAATGGTGATGACACACTATCATGTGCAATCACCATAGATAACGTCTCCCGTCCTTAAAGGAAGGCTCAGTTTGAAGCTGTTTTACTGGTAAAGCAGGCGACACGGCTGAAATCTGTGAAATCTGTTAAAGCTCTGACGCAACAACCTCTTTAAGGCTTCAAGCATTCTCACAGAACTGTATTCAGTCTCTCTATCCTACCGCTTCTTTGCAGACTCTGCTTAAAACGATAGTACTTGATAATGATACAACATGTTTTGAGCCGTTAAGGTCTAAGTGCTAGACGGGCGGCTGTTTCGTCCTATACATGGACTCCTCAGTAGCACAGCCTTCGGTTCAGCCAGTCCCTTGAGGCTATACTCCTCTATGAATGAATACGAAGAAGTAGAGGAGTATAGCGTCAAGGGATTGGCTAAACAGAGAGACTGTGCTACTGAGGAGTCCACGTATAGGACGAAACAGCCGCCTGTCTAGCACTTAGACCCTAACGACTCAAAACATGTCGTATCACTATCACACTATATTCAGCATCGCCGTAGCATAGTTATAGTCTTTTCCCCTCAAGAGTGTACCGATTCGAGTTCCAGTTTGTCTGCTTAGGATTAGGCTGTGATTGTAAGCTAATCTGCAAGTGTTTCCAGTGTTTGTCGTGTCAGAATTCCTCTAAAGTGTCGTTTATCCCTAAGAAATTTGTCTCAGATCTCAGATGTAAGGCTTGGAAACGTGATTTTTCTGAAATCATTCCGTTATCATCGTTGTTTTTACTTTCATTCGTTAATGTTCTCAACCACTCCTCTTTTTTTATGAGTGATTATTTCTATTCAGTAAGTTAGTTTCAGGTGTGTACAAACATAGCAATAGGCTAATGTCTTTCAGTTTAAATGGGCAGGAATTCTAAAGTGACCTATGTGAAGGTTTGTTTATTGAAAATAATTTCTATTAGATTAATAACTGTGAGCGTGATCTCAGCGGTTTACTGAATAGTGACAGGCGGTTATTTTAACTTCGTAATAGTTTGAATCCCTTTGGATCAAACAAATGCTGATGCATTAGTAATAAATACTCACTGAGGTGTGATTTTTCTCTATTTGATTTGCTGTCAGTTATTGTCATGTATATACAGGTGTTAATCGGTCATGAGTCGTTTGCTTTGGAAAAGCCTCTACCGAATAATCATCGATTCCGATGGATACTTTTTGTCCGTCCAATTGTTGGGTCGAAATTCACCGATACTACTTTTATCAATAAGGTGCGTTTTTTTTCTCACCGCTATGTCTTTCGTGTTTGTACTTATGTGCTTTCTAGACTGATTAATGTTCTCAGGTGAGCCTAAGACCACTGACTCTAACAACCTTAGCGTTGTTCAGAAATTACAGTTTTTTCCTATGTAGGTCAAATATGAGGTTGTTATTACAGAA